GTTCTTGGAGATAATTGCATTTTGCTTGAGTTATTGATATAAAGAAAAATAAAGTAAAATAAGGTAGACCAAAAAATCTTTCTTTTTCTTTGAACTCACCCAATCAAAAATCCTCCATTTCTCAAAGGAGAATAGAAGAAATCATACTTTCATACAATATCTTAATTGAATTATATGTAATGATCAATAAATTCAGTTTAATTCTATATCTACACGTGTTAAAATCCTAGCAACAATCTAATTTATTTTAGAGATATTTGGGCTGGAATTGACGAACAATCAATACCAATATTAGTCTTTATTAGTGTCGAATATAAATCGAAATGGGGCGTGGCCAAGTGGTAAGGCAACGGGTTTTGGTCCCGCTATTCGGAGGTTCGAATCCTTCCGTCCCAGAGCATATCCATTCTATTAGAATAAAGATTGTGTTTTTGAAAAACTTTCTGTTTAAAGATCTAATATTGGGTCGAATGTGATTCTTGTTTCTTATTTTTAATGATTCTTCTCTGAATCATATCTTTTTTTTTCACAAACTGGAATCTAGTTTAAATGACACGCAAATATAACTGAATCTATCTGTAATCCGGGTAAAATGGGAATATAGATCACAAGAGTTTGAATTCAAAAAAGTTGGGCGGGCTTTTCATCATATGCTCAGTCCCTTCATATTGAAGGAAGCTGGTTACTTCGAAAAACCTTACGCCCGTATCGAATTGAATTTTCAATGATGCATTTTGAATTGAAATGCGAAAGAAAAGCTCCTATATTCCCTATCTCTTATTCTCTATCCTTTCAATGAGAGGGCCCCGGTTATTAATTCTCTGTAAATCTCCGAATTCTAAGGATCTCTTGAATTCTAAACAAGAGGGAGTTCTTGGTACTAATTGAATTCAATCAATGGGATTAAGTTTCTTAAGACTGGGTTAGGATAGAATAAAAAATAGGAGCAAGGACTTAATCCGGACTTGTTTGGTTTTGGACCTATACAAGATAGTTAGCATCCTATTTTATCAGCTGCTTTTTTTATTTATGACTCATCATCCTCCTAGAATTGGGGGAGTAGATAGGAGTTAATTAGTAACGGAAGATATGAATTTCAATATCTGTGTTTGCCCGAATCTCATTAACAAACAATCAAGTTACATATGTAACTGGGGGATTTTCTTTGAACCCAGTTTTTAGGTATTTCTTTTTTGGCTATAATGAATAATTGTAAATAGATATTCAGACCGGGCCGATTCAGCCATTTTATTCACTTTATTTTATGGCAAGATTACAGAAAGATTACTACTACTACACTTCAAGTCAAACAAAATATAAAAATGCATATAAAATGAGGAAATGTTTAGCTTATATGTATTGTTATCGTTCTATTTCAGTGACAACGGCCTTTCGATTTTTATGAAAAAATTAGTGACAATTGTTCAGTCTATCTGATAGATATGAAACCCCCTATTCGTTCGATTCTGATTTTATCACTCAGATGAAAGAATAAGGACTTAAATCTTCCCTTACATAAGTCTTTTTTATCCATCTCAAAAAAAAGAAATTGGATTTTTTGTTTGATCTATCTATCCGCGCTTGAAATCATTGATGATTCAATTCGAAATGAAACAGAAATTTATCTATCTTGTGGTGATCAAATGCAGCCCTTACTGTAAAATTGGATTCAAATAATGTGTCAAAGTGGGAAACTTTTTCAATTATAACTATTTTTAAACCATTTTTAATGATTCCGGAGGAGTTGAATCTTTGGTACTTGAAGAAGCGTAAGATTGATAAATCTATCCTATTGAGTCACTTGAAGATGCAAATTAAAAAAAACTTCTTTTTTCGTCTTATTTATGTTTTTTTTTATAAAAAAATGTTGTATTCATACAATAAAATATGGAGTTAAGTTGCATTTTTGTTGAGATTCCTTCAGAAAAATATCTACCCATCTATATAGAAGAGAAAAATCTAGATTACTATGGACCGACTGAACCAATGACTATTCATGATTCCATAATTGAATATTGAATCATTTCCATACCGGTTCCAATTTAGAGGAATGTTATGGTAAAACTTCGTTTGAAACGATGTGGTAGAAAGCAACGTGCGACTTGAAAGACACGATCCGTTGTGGATTCTTACATCCATCATTTTATATAGGAATGAAGGTGCTCCTGGCTCGACATCATTTGTTCTGTTCCACTAGAACCCCTCCTTTTTGTTGGGTTGTAATGTAAATAGTACATGGTGGAGCTCGAGCAGAAAGTATTGATTCATTTCTCGGGGGCAGGGATCTAGGGTTAATGCTAATCAATAAATTGGAACAACTTCGTAAGTATATCTTCGATATAGAAATAGAAATCGAAAGAATCCAATTCGAGCAAGTTTCCGCCCAAAAAGGAAAAAGAAAATTGTTGGAATTGATAAAACTCTTTCGATCCAAGGTGTATCGCGCGGGAATCCACCGTTCATATGATTCTTTGATAGAAAGAAATCACAAAAAGGGTATGTTGCTGCCGTTTTGAAAGGATTAAGGATCGCCGAAGTAATGTCTAAACCTAATGATTCAAAACAAAGATAAAGGATCCCCAGAACAAGGAAACGCCGTTTGAGTTGTCTCAATAACTGGATCAGAATGAAGAATTTAAATTGTTTTTAAATGAGACAAACAAAAAAGGGGGTTAGAGACCACTCAATAAATGAAATAAATGCCTAAAGATTTTTCTTTGAGCTATTGGGGAGTTATCCAACTTGAGTTATGAGTACAAATGATTTTTTTCTTTTTCAGTAAGGAAGAGAAGAAGAAAAAAGGGCTTAAATCATAGCCTAATTGATTTGATGATTTTATGGATCCATTTGCCATTAGAATTCTATATTATAATTCGATACATCGAAATCACTTCGAATCATTTTTTCTTGAGCCGTACGAGGAGAAAACTTCCTATACGTTTCTAGGGGGGGGTATTGTTCATCTACATCTATCCCAATGAGCCGTCTATCGAATCGTTGCAATTGATGTTCGATCCCGAAGAGAGGGAAGAGATCTTCGGAAAGTGGGTTTTTATGATCCGATAAAGAATCAAACTTATTTAAATGTTCCTGCTATTCTATACTTCCTTGAAAAAGGCGCTCAACCTACAACCTATTGATCATCCAAGAATAGGTTTTGCTCTATTGCAACCTGTTCATTGAATCTCTTTTCTTTTCTTTGTTCTTTCTTCCTATCCGTACTTATAAGAGAAACCACGCTCTGAACTTCAATCAATGCTTGGTAGGCTTGCGTGGCAGTCTTCTAGTCTGAATCCATCTGCTTTTTGCCGAAGGGTTGGCCGATAGGGCGGATGGATCCAGAGCGAAAACGAGGAATTGGTCTTGCATGATCGGCGAGGAACTACTTAAATAGGGTTGTCCACTTTTCCATTTTTGGATCCTCTCCTTGCTTCTAATGAAATAGGAACGATAGGCTGAGCTCTTCACACAGGTAAATAGTTCCCCCTATTGATCTTGCCGGAGCGGTTCGGTACGCAGGAGTGGCTCGGACACAAGCCTGCCCCAGATTCAAGGAGAAAACTCTTCTTTTGACTGGGAATTTCGTATGTAGAAAGGAGTGATCGAGAACCTGAGACCTCAGTGCCTTCTTTTGATCTTGCTTTTGTTCCCGTACAACTTGACTACCAATACCAAGCCCAGCAAGGCTTACGTCAAACCGGGACAGAGAGAGCAGCGGCTCTCGGATCCCAACCAAGTGAGATTCTCCTATAGAAAGCAAATCAAACCCTTCTATGGGTAATTGCCTATATAGTCTAATTGGGGAAACTAGCTCTTTGCTTCTGCTCAAGAAAGCACGCGCACTCTATTTGAAAGGAATGGTCTAGGGGCAACAACCCTACTTTACACAAGAAACGGGAGGTCTCAACGAGCCTCATCTTTCAATGCCGAATGCGAAGGTTACCCCCTAGAAGTCAGATTGGAATGAGCGAAATAGCCTGTGAAGTGCCACAGAATGAGAAATGGATCTGTTTTAATCGCACTTTTTCTGTATATTTGTGGGAGAGTCATCTCATCTCTTCGAGTCCTCGATACGATGTGCTTTGAGCGCGTAAAAGGGAAAACCTCTTCAATGGCTCTGCAACTCATCTTTCCAATTCATTTGAAGTAAAGGCTACGAGCGAAAAACAACGCAAAATGGAGAAAGATTCGCTACTCATTTGATCTCTTCTTTTCTTATTCTTTACTTGCAAGTTTGATAGTACTTAGCCAGCCAGGGGGAGTCGAGAGACCGTGCTCGGAGTTCAAACTCTTTTCTAACGATGCGAGATGATGCGGCAGATTGGTTATGCTACTTCTTTTCCGACCCTTACTGTCGGTGGCATTAAGGAGGAGCGGAGCTTAAAAGAACCGGAGCTGGAAGAACTCTTCCAAAAAAGATCCCACTGGAGCAGGAACCAGATCTTGCGACTTGCCTTATGGATCAAGATACGATTCTTCCCCTACTAGAATCAAAGAAATATGATCCTTCATTCACACGTACCGGAACCTCTCAAAGCCAATCTCTCGTCTTTGAGTTGCGAAGCCGAACCAAGATTCTTTCTCATTGATCGGTGCATGAAGAGGTATTACGCGGTATTGTCGACCAACCAATCAGCTTAAATGCAGCCAAGTTCACACGCCGTGAAAAGAAGCTAAATCCATCACTAACTTGTCATTAGATTCCTGTGGAAGCACTATTTCGTAAGAGGATCCCCCAGATAACGTCTTTCGTAGTGACAACTTCGATAGCGAAACACTTTTCATTCTCTTTCTTTGCTGTTGCTCCATCGTGTCACCTTTTGAGGAATCTTCCACTATCCTTTTCTTTTGTTTTTCCGCAGTGGAGTCATCGTAATGAAAGTGAAAAGCTCATTTTTCTTCATCCTCTCTACCGAACTTCCTAATCATTTCGTTTAGGAGTCGGTTTAGGAGTTGATGTCGGACCGGATTTAGCAGTTGGTGGAGAAGTCGAACATGAAGAAACTTAGGTGTACATAGGATGCACTTGATTGCAATTAGATGGCCTCATAAAAGGCTTCAAAACCGAAGATTCACCCCGAAATAGAGAAGAACACGGGAGAGGGATCTAAAGTGGCTTAAAGCTCGCTAGAATTGCCATAGAAGAGCACTTTTTTCTTGTTGTGTTCGAGACTTCTTCTATTGCTCAGAAGATCCAATCTTCCAATATGCTTGCTTTAGGACCATTAACCGAAAAGTGCATTCTCATATAGCTGTGAAAGCTTAGAAATGGAGGAAGAAGGGGTAGAACCCTCTAACGTAGGGGCAAGGAATCATCAAGTTTAGTGGAGTCAGCAATGATAGGTAGAGTTTAGGACCTTCGCTCGAGAGGGTTGACTAGGTGTGTGTAGACGCAAAAAGAAAAGAATGAACAAAAGACCCCGCTAGCGTAGAAGGAATTGCTCTTGTAACATCCGGAAGAAACCATTCTTACACTTGTCTACCGCCCCAGTATCCCTTGCCTGAATAAGGTAAGATCTGAAGTCGCTTGACTTCACGTATTGAGTAGTTTACTTAAAGTAGCCTCTCTTGCCTAGCTGTCTTCCCACGAGGTATTTGAAAAAGTAAAACAAAACACGTTCTATATTGAGATTGACTCACGTTGACACAATGATTTCCAGCCTTGAGTCATCATGGAAGTGATCGGTTCAAGAAGATTTCGCAGAAAAAGATTCAGTGTCTTACTCATTCCTTATTGATAAGAATGGTTGCTTTAACCGTCTGAAAAGACTAGAACTAAGGGTCCACTCTTTGGGCTTCGCTTGACCCAAGCCAACAACCCCTCTCTGCCTTCGATCGGGGTTCACTCCTAGCTCCTTGCCTCAATTCCTTATCCCATTTTTCCTCTATCAGAGAACGTTAGCATATTTCGGTATGCCACGAAGCAAGGGATTGAGCTGCGCACCGTTGTTTTGTCTAGCCCTGGTGCCCACAAAAGTCTGAAATTTAGCGAAATAGCAACCTCTTCATTAGAAGACCCCATGGCAGGTTATCTTAGCAGCGACAGAGCACCCTCGTTAGGAAAGCAAGGTCACATACGGAATACCTGTGCGTGCGTCTCATTCGGTTGTTGAAGACCTATTTCCTGTGCTAGCTTCTTGTCTGACCTCTGATGGATCTTTGTAGCAGGAAATGTCCCGATTCGATCGAGATCATAACTAGCTCCCTATCACAATTCCGAAAAGTCATCTATATTGTCAACTGGCATTGGATCAACGGATGGTGGTGCAACTAGCGCTTTGCTACTGAAGCTACTACATACAAGGGGTTCAGCAATCAGTAGTGCTGCTATCTTTCGGAAAGGGAGGTAGTTGTGTCAATTCTTTCTCCATCTGCTTTCTTTTTGTTACTACTGCCTACTATACATCGTTGAGCCCGTGTCATACTGCTAGATCTCCTATTCGTTCCGGGACAAGAGAAACTCGTGGCTGTCAGCATCACGAACATAAGGGGCTGGGTATCACTATGGATACGAATCTCCAACTGTGCTCGATTGACATCTGCATCTGCGGGCACGTCATCTACAACTCGCTCTGTGTCTTGATCATATGCTGCTGACTAAGCAATAGAAACTGGAACTGTTGCTACTAGGTCAACTGAGTCAAGTAAATCCATTCAGTCAACTAAGTCAAATGATTCTTATAGTTCAAGCCTCTAATCTTGATCAACGGTGTGGTAATGTTGGTAATTAGACCAAATTCTGCAATCTCCCTGTCTTTTTTCTAACTAAAGACTAGGGGGGAAACCTCTCGAGTATCTATCGCGAGCCTTATTGAGAAGCGGATAGACTGAGTTGCCAATTGAGTCAGTTGCCAGAAGGTGATTTGGAAAGCGCATTCCCCGATCCATTCTATGGATATATGAGGAGATTCTGAAACAACTAATGGAACGAAACTCTTGGAAACTTCATAGCGTAATAGCCTCCTTGAGGCTTTGCCGCAGACCTCTCTCTACTAATTGGGGCTTCTTCCTCACCTGGTCTTAGATGATCGGAGTCTCTGCCTCAATGGAAAGGTGAATCTTACTCATTTGCTAATAGCTCTTAATAGAATGACTGTAGTAAAGGAGGTTCGGGACGAACGAGTAGACTGATTAGTAAGAGGTTGGTTCGGGTTATTGTTGATATTCTCTTAAGAAACAAACAACTATTCATTTGATAGAAGAACGACTCCCTCTAGTCAATGACTTCAGAAAGATCATGCTACCTTCATGGAACAGATGATCAATCAAAGAATAGGGGATGGTTTCTGGGTTCAGAGTTGGATCTTCTACACGGAACAACAACGGAAGCAACAGGCTTATTGGTTGAAGCAAGGCAATGTCATAGGGGCGGTAGGGAGTCTTTTCGGGCACTATTCATATAAAGAAGTTCTATTTCTCTGATGGCGCGCAGTAGCCTATAGCTATGGACTATAGGAGTAAGGTTAGCCCTGGGTAAACTCTCTAAGAAGAGGACCATCTGGACGAGAAGAGAAAGAGATTGACAAGCAAATAGCGAAACTACAAGCTGAGAAGAGTGGAAATCAAACTGTTCGAATTCTATTCTATAGTAGTAATATCATAGTAAGACTGCCCCTTATTAGAGAAGCTCGGTTTATCAGTCGTCTTCCTATTATGAAAGATTCTTCTTGCTTTTCCACTTGCTCTTCAACTGCGGCTGTTATCTTTAGTGAAGGGTGGCCAGGGAAGAAGACAGAGAATCAATAGATGAATGTGCGCAAAGAAAAGACAAACAAGCAACAAGATTCATACTATCATACTCCTCATACTCCAAGGATTATAACTACCATACTCAAAAGAAAACATACGCCCATAGGTACATAGGAAGAAAGAGACGATGGTCTCCAAGGTTGTACTTCGCTTAGCTTAGTGTTTAAAGAGAAGTCTTATTCCATTTCCTGAAGGACATGTCGTACCTAAGGCCGATGCTCTTAGTAAGAAAATAGATTGTAAATATCATGATTTCACTTCCACAGAGAAATGCTGTCCCAGATGCAAGTTTGATAGAGCTGCGGAGGAAACGTTTAGATCTGAGGTGAAAACCGCAGATAAAGGAAGTGGCCTATAATCAATGTGGTCCAGAGACCAGTTCAACAGCAGAAGCTCGAACCAGCTTTGCAGCGCCTAACCTATCCGACTGGAGATGGTTATGGGAGTGGACGTGGCGGATTTCTCATTCATCGCTGCTACCTCTATCTCAAGGGGATTGTCCAGTTTCGGAGCTTTTAGATGAAGATGAAAAGTCTCAGTAGCTCTTCCTTCTTTCCTTGTCTTCTTTTCAAAGATTGGGAACATCATTGACTATCTTGTTTGATTGAGAAATGCTGGTTGGAGAGTCCGGTGGTGAGGCATAAGCAGCAGAAATGGCTGACGTAAATTAGCTTCTGAAAGCTTAGTTGGACGCAGGGAGAGCAATTAGGAGTGAATTTCTCAGACTTGAGCCATGCCTCTATTTATGTCTCCAGACGAAGGAAGTCACAACTTCAACAGCCTACTCGGGCTACAACGCAAGAAAAGGAATCCGAGTCATAGGGGTGGTTTCATCCTCTCGCTGCTGCAATCGGCTGTTTGAAGCACTATTTCATGAATCACTTCCCATCCCAGCATCTCCCTATCTAATTAGGATATTGGCAACATATCCTGGAATTGCTAGTCCCTCGAAGCCATCTAATGCTTTGTCTTCGACCTATCTTGCTGGGTCGCTAGATGGAGTTCTCTATTCTTAGTCAATTCTGCAGTTTCACTAAAGCAAGTGGAGTCAGTCAAGAGCTTGAATCTGAAGTTACCGTTTACCGGAGAGGATCCCGGTTAGTCACGGCTCGAGCAAGAATTGACTGTCATCCTCATAGGTACTTCCCGAATGACCGTTCTATAAATAGAGATATACCCCATATACAAGAAGAAAACAGAAAACCACTGGCCACCAGAGGGGAGCTTCACTTGGAAGGTGAACAATGCGAGGTTAGCAGAAAAAGTAAGAACCTAAGCAGATATAAAGCGAGTGCGCTGCGCCCCCACATTCAAGAAAGAACCGTGTACCGGACTTCCGAAGCTATTCATGAAAGGCTTCCAGAAATTCTCTTCATTCGAGCCATGTCAACAACAGTTCCAAACCTTCGTCTTTCTTTTTACGATGAATCACTTTCTTTCTCTTAACATTCTGGCTTCTGCTCTTCATAAAGAAGAGGGGTTTACAGCTTTTGATGAAGAAATCTGCTCGACAGGAGGCTCAGCGTCAGAAAAAGAAAAGATGATCTTCCTTTTGAACCCACGCACGAGGAATCAATGTGGGAAGGGGACTTAGCTAAGTGGAGATGATTTCAGTCATTTTGATGCTATATGCGACTAAACTTTTCGAAAAAGAGAACCGGTCTAAAGGGTAAAATTGGCTTGCCAGCTTTTCCATATATATCCGGCATCACTTTCTTTGTTATCCCCGCCCATGAATTCACCAGTCAACCTGTTGCTTCCTTACTAACAACTCAACTCTAGTTAATCTGCTTGCGCTTGCCTTTTTCTTTCCGTTTTGAACTGCCATGAAGAACCTTTCTGACTTAGAAGAAGGTGGTGAATCACCAAAGTAGTCTATCTAATTCATATTGATTATCAAAGCGGGCAAACCACTTCTCTATTTCTATTTCATTAGTTTGGCGAAGTGGTTATTCCTTGCGCTTTTATCGGACCTTGGGATCGCAAAGAAAAGAAGTGCATTCCGATCCCTTTCATTCAACCACCGCGTCTTTATTGTTTCAACCTAAGTCAGACTTTTTCCGGTCGAATAGGGGAACAGCTTGCTAGCTTTCGGCCCTTGGCTGCCAGCAGAGCGGAGAGGTTCATCATTCTTTTGCCCCATATCGGGGATAGATTGAGCCTCCGGATAGTGGCTTGTGAGGCCCAAAAAGGGGTTTCAAGATCTACTGGATTGGCCATTTTGGGTGGATGGTACTAGCTTTGGGGTTACGAGGTGACTTCTCACGGGCTTCGCGGAAGATCCCAGTATCGGGGGCAAGACAAGATCCATGAATATCTCATCATCAACCTGTCTGTACCCGAAGAACCCTAGACAGGGGGTAGGTAGGCAAAGATCCCCGAGTGGTCAATGCTGAATCGCCAACCAAGTCAACAATCAAATATTCCTACTTTTCCGCCCATCCACTTTCATTCTTCATCTAAAAACTCACGGAGTAAGCAACTAGACACCATTTTCCTTGAGATCGAAGATCAACAGGTTCTATTGACCTCAGCTTAGTAGTTCGACCACTCCTTTGATCCATAGGCATATGGGTTTACATTTTCTTTTCTTTCTATTCCATTTCCAGTGTAGAACCAAGTTTCAGCCTTTCTACAGTCCTAAGTCTGACTCCGATACCTATTATGAAAGCTAATAACAGTAGGAAGACAAGGGAACCAGAGGAAAAGGCAGTTCGCTATGACCTCTGCCATGGATGGGTAAGAGCTTTTGGGCAAGAGGACCAAAACCCCGCCGATCGTCGTGATATGTGAAGAATTGCCCAGTGGTTTTGAAAAAAGCCTGGACTCTTACAAGGTCGCTTTCTTCGTCTTCTTTTCCAGACTCGTGTTCCTAACCTAACCGCGGGTCGACTCGCCGACACGCAGGGGTAAGTTATAGGGCACTGGCCCGTCTCCGTATGATCCGTAGCCAACTAGTCAGACTAGTGCTGTGGGGGGACTCATTCTATTCTCTCCGAGGTCAGGAATGGGGAATGGTTTAAGGCTTGAGTCGAAGACTGCGTCTCGTCTACGATAGCCAAAATCGCTCCATTTAAAGATATACTGGTCAATAACTACAATTTTGAGAAAGATTGTCGCAGACTCCAGAGGCATCTATCCTCCTCCCGTTGAGGTGTAAGTGATTAACCCTGCCTTGAGGCAGAGGCGTATTTCAGCTTTTAAAAGCCAGCCACTCAGATACAAAAGCTAGCGCCAATGCGAAATTTCCATTCCCAACAAAAGAAATTGATTTTATCAGACTCTTCCTCTCCCTAATGTGAGTTCGATCAGGCTTTAGTCTTTGTGGGATATGAATTTAGCACTTTCGACTCAACAATCTACTATCGGGTGCCAAAAGAGGCAGGCTCGTTAGCAAAAGAACGTCTATCTAACATACGAAATACCTGGCAGAGCTTTCAAGAGCTTCATCTCGAACCATGCCTCCAGAAAGAGTCGCTGGGCAACCACTCATATATGGGATTCAAAAAGTGATGAATTTAGCATCGATCAACAGAAAATGAACCAGCAGCGGGCCAAGAATCTCTCTATTCTGGTTTGACGAATGTCCAAGACGATGGTTTCGCAAAGGAGCAGGAGGCTCTTGCTCGGAGAGGTCAAGGTTGACCAACTTGGGGTTTGGTTTGCCCCTTTGAACGCTATTTACAGGATGAAATGGAATAAATGCACTCTCCTCTGTCTCACTCAAGTGAGAGCGAGTCCGCATTTTCTCGTAAGTAGGTTGGTGCGAAAGTCATAGCCTCCGTTTAGCTACGAAACTGTAACTCAGTCACTCAGTAGCTCAGTCTTTGTCAAATTGTCTACCCCAGCAGCTTTGTCAGCTCGGCCTGTAGGTCTTTGAAAGAGAGTTCTTTTCTGTTTGAGAAAGAGTTGATTAGCATCTTGGCTGGGCATTTCCTTTCTTTCTTTTCTTTCTATGAACCGGGCGTAGTCGTAAGAGTTTGCTCTTCGATGAGAATGGATTGGAAAAACCTCCTCTTCGAATCATTTGACTTCTCTTATTTCATATTCTCCAACGGATATTCTTATCAATAGGTCAATCGCTTCGGTGAATGAGTCCTTCTTTTCTAAAACACTCCTAGGGTGTGGTGTGATAAGGCAGCCATTGCTCAACATAGGGCCCCGGTGAAGCCCATACCCTTGGATGCTTAGGTGAGTCTCTCCCCCTTACCAGTGGGATAGTATTTACTCGCAAGAGCTCATCAGGCAATTGGAGAAGTGGTGGATCGAGTGGCAGAAAAAGACGAAGGATTTTCGTGTTGAATTGGTTGGCGATTCCGCATTCCCCACCCCCGGAGCTTTTCTTGACTCCTTTTCTATTACATAAATAAACAACACTTTCTTGATGGAGTGAGAGGTTCCTCTTCGGATGAACTTTCATTAATGCTTGGCTCCCCTGGCTCTTGCCTCTATTATTGCGTCTATCCGTGCGAACCTAGTATTTAGATTCGGATTCTAGGTGGATCCCTTGCTATTTCCTTTGTCAACCTGTCCAACAATCCTTTGCCTTGAAGGCTTGGTCTCTCGACGTATATCGATGAAAAATGGGAAACGGGATAGAGGGAAGAAGCTATTACGATCGAAGATACAAGGCGACCTATGGTTAGTAAACAACAGAATGAATCCTTGCCTTGGGGAGAATGGAAGAAACTCTATATTTTGTTTGGAAGCTTCAGACCGAAACTCGAATATTGTTCGTGTGCAGTGAGCTCCATAGCATTCCTCCATGTGGCATAAAGAAAAGTCCCCTTCTATTGTGGGTGGCTTCGAGGAAGCATTCGAAAATCAAACTCTGAATGGCTCTCCCTTTAATTCATAATAGTTTAGGAAGCAGCTGTTCGAAAGAAACTCTGCCTGGGTCTATCTGTACTGAAATACTAATCTGAACTCGAAGAAAGTCTAACACCAAGATAGTTGGTCTCCCTTGGAAGTAGAACATGAAGAAACTCGTATGGGTTAGGCAATCTCCGATTGATATCGATTTACTGACCAGGTTGCAATAGAGGAAAACCGATTCTTTGATGATCTATAGGGCATTCCCCAAAATCTTGATTTCCGGCGGTTTGTGACTAAGGAATCTAGGCCGTATAAGACATGTTTGATTGCAGGTTGTGCGATAAGAGGTTTCCGTTGCTTAATGAATAATGGGCATGGAGCTTTCCCTTAGAACCGCATCATTCGAACGTGAGGCAACCGATGAGATGGAACTAGTTGTGATGGGTTCAGGAATGAATAGCTTAGCTGTACACGGAACAACAACAGAATCTCCGTTCCAAAGAGGAGATCTTAAAAGCCTTCCTTTTGGTTAATTTGATCACTATTGGACGAAGCAGAAGGGACAACAGGAGAACTCCAGAAACAAAATCCCTAAGGTTACATCCATTCAAAAAGAATGGCTCTAATGACTTCAAGAGAAGGTTCTTTCTCTCGGCTACTCCATTTTGTTTTGGAGTAAAGGGACATGTAGTTTGGGACTCTATTCTATTTTCCTGCGGTCTTCATATCATGGGAAATATATCACCACCAAACTTAGATCTCAAGGCTTTAATACTCACACCAAATTGGTTTTTGATCATCATAGGAAATATAAGAATATGGAATGATTGAGGTTGGGAAACCCCTGCCGAGAATCGAGAGGCGGGAGGGCACCGAAGCTACCACCAGACTAGCGAAAAGTTTTCCGACGAGGAGAAGGATGAAGACTCCAACCCAAGTAGCTCGACATGATGTGTACTTCGTTTCGCCTATGATCAGCGAAGTATGGTTTCTGGGTTCAGGAATGAATAGTTTGGTTTGATCTTCTACCTTACCTTTGTACTGATTTCAGTAAACTAACCTCCAAGAACCTAGGTTCACAGAGGCTTTTTAGCTTTCATTTTGTTCATTACTTCGAATTAGATCTAGATAATGACTTACGTAAAGGAGAAGAGAATGATCCCGCATTCGATGATGTTTGTGAATCGATAGCAAATGGACACCGGGGAAGGTTCAAAGATGGAATTCAAAATGCATTCTATGCGGAGGCTAAGAAACGGAGGAAGCCGCTTTCAAAGCTGGCTCTAGCTTTGTCACCGAACCCCACAGCTGACTCGACCGAGAGAAAAGAAATTAGTAACGGTAGGGGGCCTAGAGTTCCGTTCAAACAGCTCCAGTTTTCTCTGGATCGCTCAGGAAATGATTCTGCTTAATGGCTATCGATATCCTGTACATCCGCATGTAGCTGTGTTCTAGAGTAGTTTGTTCTTGTGGTTATTCATCTTCATGGGGGGGACCCCTCACCTGCGCTTGGGGTTTGATCTTTTTCTCTTCCCGCCCCGTTCACCGGCTCGTCAACTTAAGGACTAAAGGTAAAGGGGATCTCCTCATTCTAACTCTACTCTAATATAATAGTCACCCCCGGAATAGGCAAAGGTGCATGGACGCTTGTTCTGTCTACCTTATTTTCCGAAGGCGCATAAATGGATGAGGAACTGTTCTATCTAATTGGCATTAGTACGTGCGGCAAGTGCTTCTGACTTTTATACTCTTACTGAACGGGAGGCTCGAGAGACCTTGTTACATTGCCTTTTATCTCACTATGGTCGGAGACATCAAGCCATATCGCCACTTTTCATAGCTCAGCTTTCGCTCTGAACCTAGGTCGGTCAGGAGCGAGGGATTCATATTCTCTTTTGGCCTACACGCGTACAAAAGAAAAACTTCTCGGATTTGCCCTAATCAGTAATAAGAATCGGTAAGAGGCATACCAAAATGAATGTTCGTAGGGACAAAACTCCCCCTTCTACGTTTGCTCGTTAGCGCTTGCTTTTGCTAAGGGATGGACTGAGAGTTACATGGTTGGGTGCGAAACCCGCTATTCAACAAAGCAACGAGACCCATTTCTCTTATTTGTTTGATTCTCTTTCTGTCGATGCTTCGTATGCTGTGCTGACTGATGAGATGAGACTTTCTTTACCTTTACAACCAGATTATACCCCGCACGGTCTTATTTCAAACTAAATAAGAAAATAAAGGAAACTTAGGCGGAGATCCTCTCGTCGCTTTTAGGCCCCCAGCTACTTGAATTGAATGAGAGAAAAAGAACTGAACTGAACTCGAGCCAATCCTTGCGTTTGGTAATGACATGGAAGGAAAGAAAAAGACTCTGTTTGGCCATAAAAAGCCCTTTGAACTGCCTATGGGCGCCTAGACAGGAAAACACCCGAGAGATGG